TCGGTGTCACTGTATAAAACTTTTACCACGCTTAATATACTTTTATTGCGCAGTACACTTGTGCGCATATAAATTGAAGCGCAGTAGCAATGTGCGCAGATGTAGCCACAGAACAGTGCTTGTAACAGTCTGAAACGCTAATCCCAACACATGAAAACAGTAGTTAGCACGATTTCGTGCATTTATTGCGATAAATATGTATCAGTGTGTATTAAAACACACATCACTGTATTAACAGTATGTCAGCAAAAAACTCAAAACACTGCAGAAATATTAATTTCATGCAGCTTGTAAATCCGCGTACGCTTCGCTGAGAAACGGCGCAATGAATGACGCTGAGCTGCGCGCGCATCTCTCATGTGGAGCCTATTACGTCACTAGACGGTGATGTGGAATCCAGTGGCTTTCTTTACTCAGTATCTCATTCGAAAACCAACAATGTCTTTGGTCGCTGGTAGCAATAGTCACAGTGATAGTACCAGTACTATTTACTAAAGCTGTTTTTAGCTCTACCCATGTCTCATTGAACTTAAATTTCTTCATTTTCTACTCGTTATATTAATTTTTAAGTAACTGAAATTTTAGGATTTAATGAGTGTTGTTGTATTAATTTTCCAGATAGAAAAATCGATGCCAAAGGAACGGGTGCCCAACTTCAGTGGCATGGAAGAGAATGATAGTGATGATGACAAGGTTGTAGAAGATTCTGGAAGTGCAAGTGCTGCTCCATGCAGTGAGAAGTCATATACAGTTATAAAGGTTGGTCTTTTTACATGGTATGACCCACAGAAAAAATGTTATAATTTTGATGCCAAAATTGAAAAATTCTTAGGAAATGAAGACACAGTGCCACATGGGCAATTTTGGTGATAGTTTTACTTGGTTCAATAAAATTTTTCTTTACCTAAACCCTTAGGAATGAAAAAAAAAATGCTTAAGAAAATCATTCCTTATGTAAACCCTTTCATATTTTTAATTTTCATATTTAATTTTGAAATTAATAAAAAATGCTGTCAATTTCTTCTGTCACATATTGTCATGTTTGGATTCTGTTAAAGGTTGGACTGTAAAATGATGAAATAGACAACATGATAACTCATCAGTTAATGTAAAACATTGTGTTATGTTGTAGACCTTCAAGACAGAAGAGCGTGGGCTGAGTGACTTGGTCAGACAGTGCCTTGGTAAGCCACTGAACAAGTCACAGCAGATGTCAGACTGGGAGAGGCGACCACTCAGACCTGCTCAGATCACTTACGCTGGTGGGTTCCTTTTTGTGCATGTTGCATTTGACTTAGAATGGATGATTTTGTGTTACAGCAGTCTGCTTAATTTAAAAGCCACATTGGTAGTTATCTTGTTTTGTTTAAATATTTTAAAAACCAACACAGATTTCACGGAAGGTTGGATTTTAGTGACAGTCAGTTTGAATAAACCAATTTAATTTTTAATCTTATCAGATGCAATTTGTATGTATGTTATGGCTGCTAATATGTTCAAGGACTTGGGAGAAAAACTTGATGTTTGGTCAATTGTTTTATCAGTGAAAATAATTTGGCTTGTATTTCAGCCTTGGATGCGTATGTGCTGTTGGAAGTGTATCAGGTCTTGACATCTAAGATCACTGCCTATGGACTGAAAGTGAATCCTGAACCAAACATTCCTATTGGTAATGTTAAGGGAAGCAAAAAGTCTCGACAGCAAAGAAAGCAAGATCATGTCAGAGAAAAACAGAAAGAGTTAGCTCCACAAACTGCAGAGCATCAAGATCAGGTACAATATTGTTATAGTTGATACTTATATACAGCTTAGAAATATATTTCACTTCTCAATATTGATTTAGATGGGATTTTGTTTAAAATTAGTCAAAGAGTGTGGTAGATATTTTTTTAAAAATGTAATTTAATAATATGAATTTTGGAGTGAAGCAGACAGAAGTACTTCACATCTTCAGAATAACTAGATGTATTTTTAAGAGCAAATGTAAATCAATTGCCTGTATAGCCTAGTATTCATAAATTATTCCATGCAAAAGTGTTGAACTTGACTTCTATCAGTAAACTTATAAAAGGAACAAAATCTGTGAATCTGCCGTCATAAGACCATGTTGTATTTAAAATGCCTATTTAAATAAAATAACTCACGGGCTGATGTTTTTCCAACATTTAACTAGACTAAGTATAAAGTGACTTATTATTTTATTTCATTATTTATATATTTATATATTGTAGACAGCCAGAGAAGGTCATTCCACTGTCAACCCCAGGCCTGCCATAACCCCAGGTGAGCTCCAGTTGGTGGTAGATAATATGTTAGGTGGCTTAGGGAGACAGCTCCGCTGTTGTGGAGTTGATGTGGTTATGTTAAAGGATCATGAAGACCACAGTGAAGCCATTGAGGTGAGAGGCCCAGCCCTGGAAATCCACGTCATCATTTTATTGGGTGTAAAACTGAAAATGTGTATAATTTTTTGTGCTCCAATATGTTTAAAGAAATTATAGTAACGCTTTACTATTAGTCACTAGTATTTTTTAAACTGAGACTGTATTTTGAAGCAATCTCAAACCTGTAATAACAATATGGTATTGTAAACAAAAATGACACAGGATGTACAAAGTTTTTATATTTTCTTTCCTCCAGATTTCCAGAAAACAAAATAGAACCATTCTCACATCAGGAGAACCTTACAAGATGGTAAATAATATAGTAATAATATAATAGTATTTTAGAAATATAATTTAAAATTAAAAATCACAAGGATGTTGCAAGAGAAGTTGAGTCAAAACTTTTTATGCCAGAAGCAAGCACAATTAAATTATTGTGATGAGAAATCCCATTGCAGTACAACGGATTACTTATTATTCACTGAGATATTAAGTTGGGTGTTTTGATTATTTTTGCTGGATAGATTATTAATACACTAGTAATAGTGATAATACATTGTCCTTGTTTATTTTTATCTTCCAGGGTATTTCTTATCTTTTAATAAAGTTTTTATGCCGACAGTTTTATTGGCAGACCACCATGTTGTGATATATACATGTGTAATACTTTTTTTTGAAAATCTATAGTCACCAACTTCCACAATATTTGTGTTCCATTAGGTACTGTCATACCACATTATCACTGACTGTATGAAAAAAAAAAGAATATTCACAATAAGATTTGTTATTTTTTTAGATCAGAGGACACGTTGGAGAGGATATGTGCTACAATGTTGCATGTGATGTATCAAAAAGGGAACAAGTTGTGGACGTTTTACAGCATTTTAATGTGATAGTCATGCAGCGAGATATATTCAGCCGTTGTCAGGTATGAATATAATTATTATTGTGAATGGGTAATTTAGTTTCAGTGATGTAGAAAAGTATTTTAAAAAGAGGTAATTTGCTGTTTTCTTGTGATTGTAAAACAAAGATGTTACATTTAACATATGTGAAACAATAAGGTGTTGATGCCCAATTTCTTTTTGTGTTGTGGGAAGAGGGGGGCTATATAAAGTGACAATGAAGAACATGTGAAAGAGAGTAAGGACCCCTCAAAGTGATTGGGTACAGCTTCATCACTTAAGTATTCCACTTAATAAATAACAGGTCTTAATCTAACTGGTAACCATTGTTTGTTACAGTATCAAGATAGATCAGGCACTACTCTAAACTGCTCCTTCAATCTGGAATGCTCTTATGACTACATTTATACTTATCTTTTAGGTGTGTAATGGAAGCAACTATATCAAAATTCCACAAGCAGCAATGAAGGCAGCATGGCTGAGGAAAAAGGCGCTCAGCCAACACATTCCTTCTCCTGGCTCACCAAACACACTCCGCCTAGATCCTCACATGAGGCACTGTGAGAAAGAACTGGCTCATCTTGGCATTGTCCTTGCAGATGTAACTATACAGGACACAGGGAGCCTACTAATGGTTGAAACTGTACCAGAGGGCATTTTAAACAGCATGGAGTACTTTTATGGGTGTGGAACTTGTGGCAAAGTATTCTGGGAAGGACCCCATTTTGAAAGGACATGTAACCAGTTCAGTCACGTTTTACAAGATTCTAAAACAAATGGGCCTAAAACTGTGTATGATGCTGTATGACAGATTTTATTTACTCCTATTTCTTAGTGATAATGCCATGTATTAATATGATGCCCTCTATGACTTTCAAATCTGGACTTACATATGGTTTTAGTATTGAANTCCACTAGTATAGTGCTAATTTACATTCTACCTTATCATACAGCATGATGGATCCCGCGAGATTGCGCATGCGCACTGGAAGCATCATGTGTCTGCGAACTTGTGAAGCGTCAACACAGTTCTTTCGTACCTCGGTGGTTATATTTATTTTTCATAATACTATCGACATATCAACACCAAGAACTTTATATTTTATTGCCATTTGATTTATCGTTCTTTTGAAGAACGTATTGGGAGATTTCCTCCCTTAAGCACTGGGCGTAAGGCCTTTTTTGGTGCTACGCTAGACCATTCGGAACTAGGTTGCCGTAATGGCTGATGAAAGCACATGTAACCTAGCGTTGGCTAGCGAGAAAGAGAGCTCTAAGAAGAAGGAGCATTCTTCCAAGTCTTCAGATGGACATGCAAGCAGCTCAAAAAGCCATTCACATGGCAGTAGCTCTCATAAAAGCAGCAAAAGCAGCGAAAAAGCTATGGAAAAGACTTTAAAGTCTATTCAAGACCAACTGAAAACCATCACAGCAGGCCTTGCCCATGTGACTCCCATCGTCACCGAGCTCAAATCTGCGTATGATAATGCCCTGGCGGAGCAGGAGTATGATTTTTACGAGGCAGAGAATAGATCATTCGAGCTCAGTGATGGAGAGATTGAGGAAAATCAGATTTCAGACGAACCTCCATGCAAGCTTTCTAAAATGGTAGCCGGGCACACGTCGCATATTAACACTCAAGATGGCGGCGGTGCAGAGTGCATTGACAGCTCACAGTTTGACAGTTTAGCAAAACTCGCCAACAAACCTGAACCGGACGGACCGGAAATAAATGCCAAACTTGCAAAAGGAGTAACAGATCTGCTACAGCTTGGTATGAACCAAAATCACAGGGCCACTAAGATGGAAAGCATCAAAAAACCTTCAAACTGCAGCAGGCTGGATGTGGTCAGAGTCAACCCTGGCCTGTTCCAAACGTTCTCCAAAGAAACTAAAACGGAGGATATTATGTTACAAAAAGTCCAAAAGCCCCTGTTAAAGGGTTTAACACATATTGTAAGGCTGAAAAACGATATCCATAAACTGGAGAAAACGCAAATTGCTGACATTCTGGATGACGCTATTGCATTAATAGCAGATGGATCACATGAGCTAGACTTGAGACGGAGAGCCTTGCTTAAGCCAGGATTAAAACCACAATTTAAGTCTCTGGCAAGTGAAACGCAGCCTGTCACTGATCTACTCTTTGGAGAAGATTTAGAAAAGACTGTGGAAGAATTGAGTAAGTCCCACAAAGTGTCAGCCACAGTAACTGTTAATACAAGTAACAACAGGAAAAGAAAGCACTTTAGCCAGTATAATACTCATCAAGAATACTCAAAACACAAGAGGTTTCCTTTTTTAGGACATTCTCAAGGAAACAGTGCCAAAGGAACAACCCTCAGCAGTTACAGAGGCCGGCCGATGAATGTGGCACACAGCAAACAAAAATTTCACCAGGGCTCTCAGCCGAAAGGCCAAAAGAGCTATCCCTCTTTCACTCACTGAGTGACAGTGAACAGGTGAGCAGTAAATCTTCTTGTGACATGATAAGAATTGATCCTATTTCTATAGATTTTGTTGCTGGGAATATACAAAATCATTTATATAATTGGGAAAAAATCACATCGGATATTAATGTTCTGAACATGGTGAAAGGCTATAGAATTGAGTTTAATTCCTTGCCAGTACAGCACCTAGAACCAAAGGAATGCAAGTTTTGCGATTCCGAAAAAGAGATAGTTAGGGAAAAAATTTTGAAACTTAGAGAAAAAGGAGTAGTTGTGCTATCACAAGAGGAGCCAGGACAATATGTATCTCCTATTTTTCTACGGCCCAAAAAAGACGGCAATTTTCGTATGATCCTCAACCTGAAAAAACTCAATCACTATGTTCATTACATACATTTTAAAATGGATACCTTACAGTCTTGTGTAAACTTGATGTCACCTTCATGTTTCATGGGCTCGATTGATTTGACAGATGCTTATTATTCTGTACCCATTCACAAAGAAAGTCAAAAATTTCTGAAATTTAGATTTGATGGCCAACTCTATGGGTTTACTGTAATGCCAAATGGGTTAGCCTCTGCACCCAGGAATTGGACCTTATTGCTCAAACCAGTTTTTGCTTATCTTAGGGGTCAAGGCCACTTGTCCAGTGCATACCTAGATGATATTTTTCTGGCTGGTGATACATGGCAACAATGCCAAAATAATATTCAGGCAACTTTGAAATTGTTAAGAAACCTGGGATTTTTCATAAACATCAAGAAATCTACCATTATTCCTACACAAACAATAGAACACTTGGGATTCGTCTTGGATTCTGTAAACATGACAATAGCGGTCAATCAGGAAAAAATTGATAAAATTAAAACCTTAGGTTTTAAACTGATAAACTCACACATATGCAAGATCAGACAAGCAGCTCAGTTAGTTGGAACCATGGTGAGTTGCCTCCCAGGTGTTAAATTGGGAAAACTGTATTACAGAAACCTTGAACTAGATAAAATACTGGCTCTTAGGAAAAATGCTGGCAATTTTGATGCTGCCATGAAAATATCAAGCAGGGCAAAACAGGACATACTTTGGTGGATTAGTAAGGCACATATAGATAAACTACCCATAGCTATAGGCAGTGCAACTATCATTTTAAAAACTGATGCCTCTAACAAGGGTTGGGGTGCATTTAGGGAAGGTACAGAACCGACAGGTGGTAAATGGGCAGCCGGTGACCTTTTTCAGCATATTAACTATCTTGAACTAAGAGGAGCCTTGTTAGGACTCCAGGCCTTGTGCAGTGACTTGAGTGATACTCACATTCTCCTGCAACTTGACAATATGACTGCTGTATGTTATATTAACAATATGGGAGGTAGTCATAGCTTAAGCTGTAACAAGGTGGCTAGGGACATTTGGCACTGGAGTACACTTAGAAACATTTGGTTGAGTGCCACTCACATTGCAGGTGTTGCTAATATTGAGGCAGATAAAGCTAGTAGGAAGTTTAATGACAGGACAGAATGGCAACTTCAGCCTGCGGTTTACCAACATATTGTTGAACATTTTGGCCAGCCTGTTATTGACATGTTTGCATCACGGATTAATTATCAAATGATACCTTTTGTTTCTTGGCGACCTGACCCACAAGCCATTGCCATTAATGCATTCTCTCTGAATTGGAATCAGTTTGAACTAATATACATGTTCCCTCCTTTTAGTCTGCTGGGGAGAGTCCTGAGGAAGCTGCAGGAAGACCATGCCCGAGCCATCGTGATAGTGCCACAGTGGCCAACACAGACCTGGTACCCTCGACTTCTGAGAATGCTGGCAGCACCACCTCTGCTTCTACCCAGGAAAAAGTTTTTGTTGAGACTTCCATCGGATCTCAGTGTCCCACATCCACTGTGGGCCAAAATCAGGATAATGGCCTGCTTATTATCGGGGAAAAGCTGAGAAAACAAGGAGTATCAACGCGCGTTCAGGAGATAATTTCAAAATCATGGCGCACAGGCACTGCCAAACAGTACAATGTGTATCTCCAAAAATGGATTAAATTTACCTCTCTCCACAACATTGATGCCTGTTGCCCCACTTCTGCACAGGTACTTAATTTTCTGGCTGATATGTATGACTCCAATTTGGGCTATTCAGCACTGAATACTGCACGTTCAGCCCTTTCAGCAGTGACCACCTTGAAGGATGAACATTTCACGGTCGGTGAACATCCTCTAATTCAAAGGTTCATTAAGGCAGTTTTCCAAACTAGGCCCAGCCTTCCTAGACATACCACCACATGGAATGTTAAAACAGTTCTCGATTACCTTAAGAAGTTATCTCCAGCATCAAAACTCTCACTTAAAGAACTCACTTTAAAATTGGTAACTTTGTGTTTATTAGTGACTAGTGCTAGATGTCAGTCAATCCAATTAATGGATATAAAACATATGACTGTAGGGAAATCTTCATACAAATTTAATATTGATAAACTAGTGAAACAATCTAGACCTGGCCGGGCTCAGCCTGAACTTGTACTGCCAGCTTTCCCAGCTGACAGGAGATTGTGTGTGGTTACATATATGAAGGAATATTTGAGTAGAACCAGAGACATTAGGTCTGATAGTAAATTATTCATTAGTTGGTGTAAACCCCACAAGGGAATTACAAGTAGTACTATAGGACGTTGGACTAAAGTTATCTTAGAGAGAGCTGGAGTTGATTGTTCAGTTTTCACAGCTCATAGTACACGTGCAGCAGCAACTAGTGCTGCTCATACCTTGAGTATACCAATTGATGTTATTTTAAAAGCTGCAGGCTGGAGTAATGATAGCACTTTTTGTAAATTTTATAAAAAACCAGTTGTAGATGAGACATGTTTTGGTAGAGCCATTTTACATACTGCTACAAATTAAATAAGGAAGGGATGTGTATGTACCATAGAGGCTGGATAACATTTGTAATGGATATCACTGATATAATAAGAGTATCACATAAGTGTAGCTGAACTACATGGTAACATTGTCATGTATAGTATAAATATGCTACAATTAGAGTTACATCTGAATTGCTTAACTTTGATGTTATATAGACCGCTACAGTTATATTTATATTTTTACACTGACAGCAAGTAGACGTTTGAATAAATTATTTTTTTTTTTCAACAACCTGCTTGTTACATTTACTGGGTTTGTTTCTGGTCCATGTGGGTTTTAAAGTCTCGCGGGATCCATCATGCTGTATGATAAGGTAGAATTAAAAAATTAAACGAGACTTACCTTAGTAAGGTGAAGTTTGATTGGGATTCTACCTTATCATATTAAGCATGATGAGATCAAGCGCCCACCCTTTACCCACCCTTGGTTATCCACATGGACCTTCATGTCCAAGAATGATGCTTCCAGTGCGCATGCGCAATCTCGCTTGATCTCATCATGCTTAATATGATAAGGTAGAATCCCAATCAAACTTCACCTTACTAAGGTAAGTCTCGTTTAATTTTTTAATTATAATGGGCATTTGGACATTGCTTTTTAAGTGCTGTTAATGACAAATTGACAAAATGGTCATTTCAGTGTAGCACTGGAATGTAGACAGCATGAGCAAAAAAATTGTTAAAAATTGATCCATTCTGCAACAGAAGAAGAAATATTCTCTGGCCACATAACCACACATTTCCATAAATACATACTGTAACTGATAGAATTCTGTAACCTAATGCAGATGACATGTTAATAATGTACATAATGGAAGTGTACTTTATGCCACCTTGTGGTGAATGAAAACTGAGGCACTTACTTTCTAGTAAAAAAAAGTGATGTATCATTCTTTACTTAGAAATAGCAATGTCTAGGCTGAAATTTATTGCAAAGTGGTGAAAACGATGCTGAAATGCAATTTTTGAATAGTCTCCATAGCACACCCTCAATATGGCTAACATGAGTAAGTCATTTATATATAGTGTCTCAACTGAGATGCATATTTATTCATTATTTTTTTACGTTGATTTTCATTCAAGCAACCTGTGACATCACATGCAATCTGGTTTTCCTTCATTTATTTTTTATTACTTAGTTTATTTATTTATTTATTTTAATCTATTATTTGATTGGTATTGGATTGGTACTGCTTTTTTGATGGAAATAATGTGTTGCAATGTCTGTTTTCTTCAAATCTCTGTAAAACCATATCAAAGTTTCATGACGACTGGTTTCGTTCAAGATAGCACATTTCGAAGAATGTACATCAGTAATTGTCCAAAACCACATCACAACTTATCCAAGACCATTTGCCCAGGTCTTGATGCATTTTCCTTGCAGTTCTGGTTTTAATCAGGGGCCAGTGTACTTTTAAGTGCAAATATATATCTTGTAGGTGCAAAGAGATGAGGTGGAAAAGTGAACATCAAGGGAAAGATCATTGTGAGGGCGCGGATGCACACACACACACACACACACATAATTCTAAATTCTAAATTTAAGAATCCTCAAACTCTAGACTGAGTAGGAATTGGCAATACCCTTGCCCTCTGTTCACCCGCCCTATCATTGCTATGCAATCAATATATTGACTTGCCCAGAAAACATCAAATTTCACACTTAAACATGATGAATGGGTATTTTAGCATGGCATTAGTAGCCAGTAGCTGACCTCTTGGGGTAACTTCATTGCAGCAACCACCCATGAAATGGAGTTTGTGGAAATCCTTCAGAAATGGCTTTTTTATGTGGCCTGCCTAAAAAGTGGGGTTCTGTAAGTGTGCCACTGAAATATGCCCAGAATTCCTGATGATGAGTAATTAAAGAACTTTGTGCACCCTCCTTGTTTAGTCATCATCACAAAATGAATTGAACACATAAAAACATACCAACAGTGTGTCCCATAACATAAAATTTGTTTCACCTAGATTTGTCAGACCATGTCACAGATTCGTGTAGCTTTTTATCTGACTTAGATCTATTTTTAAAGATAATTTTCTACTGAAAGATAAAAGTCTTAAGGAAGTTTTGAATGATGAATGCAAAAAATAAAAACACATTACTATTAGTGTTCGACACTTTATTGTGATCATAGTGTTTTGCACAATATGATGAAATATGTACATTTTCTATGGCAACCAACAGCTATGACTCATCGGTTGAAATTATAGTTTCTCCGGNAT